CGTGGCTCATCGACTTGGTCGTGAATCCCAGTTTCAGCTACTTGCCTTCAGGTTTGAGTTGAAAACTTTTCGATTTTGGGATCCGGTTTTCATTTACTCGGATCTTAAACTTGTATTATAGTGTTGGTGGATAAATTCTGTTGTCCTTATCTAAGTTTATCGTATGAATTCGCAGACTTTCGGGCCTTCATGTGAGTTCTAATTTTGTGTGGGTTTCACTTTCTGTAAAATCAAGAATACAATTTGATTGTGGTGGTATTCTGCTTAATTATGATCAGTACCCACAGACAGCTATTGGATTCTATGCAGTTGCATGGATGAGGCGGAAAAGGCCCAGACATAAGTGCTAAGGCACTTAAGGAATCATTTGGTGACTATGTAAAAGGTCTGAAGAAGGACAAAACAACTGTTCGGGGCTTTCTTCAACCATTACTGAAGAAGAATACCTTTGCAATCAGTCTTCCTTGTTTTTACTTTTTCTGAGAGCTTATTTGTGTTTAGTTTACATACAAATCACCCACGGAGCTCCTATGTCCTCTGTATGGCTTGATTCCCACTTAGTGTCTTTTGACAGAAGACTGTGACTGTAAACTGTTTTCCGAAGCGATTACATTCACTTTGGCAGACATTAGTAAACGAATAAGCAAAATAAAGTTGAAGTGAATATCCCAAAGTTAGTGCTGAATGCTTGAGCAGTTTGAACTTCTTGATGAATCTTAATCATGTGCTTCAGATTAAAATGTAGCTGAACGTTATCTTTGTTATCAACAAAGCCAATTCTGTTTTTGTTGTGCTGTTTCATACACCGTCGAATTGCGTAATGTACGGATTCTTAAACAACTACCGTTGAAGACTACTTACCACTTTTAATTAGTTGTATTTGGTGATAATCAAAAAAAATCATAATTGTTTCCTTAGGTTTAACCTCAAACTCTGTGAAAATCTATAATTCCGTAGGACACCTCATGTAGAGATGGGTGGCAAAGACTGCGCAGTTTTGAACGCTGTTTCTGAAGTTAAAATTTAATGGAAACCCAGACACCACTTTCTAAAGAAACCAAAAATATTTCGTGAACTGCCACAGCTCTAAAAATAGCATATGAATCTAAATGACATAAGTGATTGATTGCATCCCCGAGTAGCAGTCAGTTAATAAACCCTATTTAGTTTGCTCACATCAGTACCACAATGAAAACTGAGAGTGGCTGGTCGATCGGGAATGACATGTACTAGTATGCTATTATGGTGGAATGGGTTTGGAGGTATTGAAAAGATGAACTGTAATGAAAATGTTCAATAATAAACCAGAAAGATAACAATGTTGGCTGTTGACCATTACTCAATATCGTCAGGTTAATCTAGCCATGAAATTTAGTTCTTAGCAAACATTAAATTTGAAACATAGGCTCCCTTTTATTCAGTTCGTCAGAACACAGAGAAAACAAATACTGTAAGATGTTAACATTTCTTTTAATCTCTCCAGTCGCTACAAAGTTAAACAATCCGATATTTATACAGAACAAATCGACCCCTGTGCAGTAGTTGTCTGAACATATTCTCAAGTGTTTGATACAATCGATGACGCGACACAATCTTAGAGGTCAAAACTGATAAGAGAAATCCAGGGTCATCAATCGCAAAACGTCTCTTGACAACTGTATACATCGTTGACCTACATTGGTCGTTCGAGCCGTTATTACGTAGCATGAAGTCCAGGATATTGACGTTTAGCGAGGCGATGCTAATCGAGTTACGTAACCGCACAAAAGTTTCTGACCCAATCAGTCGGACTACCGTGGAACTGACTTACCACACAACCCCACCTGCTATCCTGACCACTGTCTATTGACCCGATGTAGTTATCAAAACGTTCTTGTATAAATACCGGATCGTTTTTTACATTGTAGAGGAGATTAAACGAAATGCTAACATCTCACAGCATTTGTCTTCTCTCTGTTTCGACAAACATTACCGAAAATCGCTTGAGAATAGAAGTGTACTTGTTTTTGGTTGAAGATTGTGTTGCCAATTTTTCTATCAGAAAAATAAACGAAATTGGATTACGATTATCGACATTTCCTCACAGAACGTATTGATACTCTGAACATAAAAGATGAATATAACAGCATTGTGTTTCACCTCACAAATACACAGCGGAACATTATTTACCCATATCACCACTTCGCCCAATAAAGTAATAGTAGAAGTTTATTCTGAAAGAGGGGAAAAAAATAACTTGAATAATTTCCACGCTTTCATTCAAAAAATCAGCTAGCATGGTACTTGTTGGCATCACAAACTATAAGAAAAATACAGTGGGATGCCTAGTTTGAATCTGTTCCGTAAAAAAGCAGCCCACGGTGTAAAACTAATAGACAACTTGGCTTTCAGTTCTACCTCCTGTTACGCACGTTTACTGTTACTCCTCTACAGCGGATCGAATTACTTCCTATTTGTTAAAAGGACAGTCTAGGGTCATACGATCGATGAAATCATTGACGCAGTTCGGGTCACGTGAAATGTTGTCTGTTGATCCGGAGAGTGAGAGAGGGAGAGAGAAATGCATATTCGTCCTTGTGTGAGTATTGATTGTTATGGAATTTCCCCAACTTGTCCAATAGTGCTTATTAGAATGTAGTAATGAAATGAAAATGACTTATACACTCTAGGACATTTATAGATTCGGAAGATTTGAACAAGGTAGTCAAGTGGAAATTTCATAAGATTAAAAGCGTCCCATTGAATTAATTAAATTTTGCGACATTGGATTTCCGAACACGGAGCAGCCATTTCCCAAAAAAATGTCACATAGTCAAATTTATAATACAGCTATGCTGCTAACCTACTATATAATTAGACCCAGTAGAGTACATCTGTAAGAAGTAAAATTTTATTGGCTCAGTTTGCCGAGTATTGGATCACGTGCATGTCCTGAGGAGCGTAGCTGATAGGCAGCAAAAGCGCCGCTGTGATTTCACTTGCGGTTAGAGTTAGCTTGCAAGAGGTCAGTACATATCTCCAGTGATCTACACTTGACGATGGAAATGAGTGGTTCAAATTAATGAGATCGAATTTCCGTTTCCTGTCCAAATTGTTCACCCATAAACCGGTCGTGGCGAGCTCGAGTGATGAAGGCGAGCTTAGTAAGTGTTGTTCGAGAAATTTGTATAAAAATATGTTTCACTTAAACTAAAATATTCTTGTGATATTTGACACAAAGGAAGTCGTTTACTGGTTTCACATTGATTATATATTAGATACGATCAAAGTTGGTTTGTAGCTCATATTAATTCAGAGTAATCTAGGCACCCGAATCAGTTGCTGTCAGTTACCAATAGAAAATGGTTGGTATATAGATTTACTGTTGACTAAAAGTACAGTTTTATCATAGAACAAGGTAAACCTTCTTTAAAAGTGTTACTGGAAAAATAACATGTATTTTCTGAGACAGAAAGATTCAGAGTTAATTTTATTAAAGAGTAAACGCAGTGAGCAAAATGCATTCCATTCCCCATCTATTATTCTAACTATATATCTACATATATATCTGTATGTATATATATATATGTATATATATATTTATCAATCTATTTTTATCTATGTAAACTTAAATATGGATAAAATAGTCAAAAAAGTTACCAACCAAGTCAATTTGCTCTCTGTTGCAAAGGCATTCTTTGAACAATAAATAAGCCCCCAGTGTACACAAGAGAAACAATGCTGTCTGTGGTCTTCATTTTTGGCCTATCGTTGTTTAAGTTGCTTGGTTTTTTTTATTATATTAATTTTTCGTGTAGAATAGAGTTAAATGGAATTCATGGTTTTTAGTACACAGAAAATAAAATATTCTATGGATTTAGAATTGGTACGATCACCTTTTATAAAAGGGTAATGCAGCCGAACTAAAACTGGTAACTAAGGGTAAAGGTCTAATAAATTGTATATGCTCGTGTTAAAAACAGTATTAATATCGACAAAGTATTGGAAATCGGTCCTCGTAGCTCGGGTGAACTGAATTCTATTTCGCTTGTTCGCCGAGCTTGACAATTCGTTTGCAAACTTTTCATCACCAGCCGAGGTGACATCATCAGTGCTTATTTCACAAGCACTGATGATATCACCTCGGCTGGTGATGAAACGTTTGCAAACAAATTGCCGAGCTCAGCGAACAGGCGAAACAGAACACAGTATTAATATGTTGTATATTGATACATTGAATACATTCATTTATATCTGATGGTGTTTTTGGTTAAGAGTTTCCGACTCGCGCACACAAATGCACAAAAGAACGAGTTAATATCAGAATTGGAGTCACGGGAATAATTTATTTTATTTTGGCCAAACTACTCAGTAGCGCTTGTGCGATGCTGATTTTAAACTACATTGTAGAAAGGCGAATATAATTAAAATTTATTCAATATGAAACCTCAATGCCATGAAAGTAGTAAAAATTTTATTGCAGAAACACGTGTCGCTCATTTAAGCGGAATAGTACGGAACCTTCTGATGATCTCCATAGGGGAGGAAATTCACGGGAGTTAAATGGTTGAAGATAGGGGCTCATCGAAGATGATCTTACGGTGTTCCACTTACGACCTATATAGACCAACGGCTACCCATTGCACTATTGAAAACTAACTCTGTTCAGGTTATTTATTGTCTGGCGGATTTTTTTGGCTTAAACTAGGTTGAACCACGTGCTATATGTCCACAGACAAACCGTTTTCGTCCGACAATCTGCCGTATAGGCATAGCAGCCTCTGCCAGACGTTTGATTGGCCGATAGGTTCGAATGACCTTCACCTGACTTACAGCCAATCACTGATCAGAGTTGGTTTGATCAAATTACTCGTTCAAACGACCAGTGCCATAGACCGTAGGCCACGGTTGTATGGAGTACATAAGGTTCCTGATGCGAGTCAAGGAGGGTAGAAGGTGAATCCATGTGTGGCCGACAACAGTTTGTGGTTTCTCCAAGGAATGGTTACCCGCCAAATCCAATGGACGCCAAATCAGCGCATGTGAAAGCGGATCCTACTCTGTCATTGACGGAACACCCTTCTAGTGCAATCCCTATTGCAACACCCGATCGGCATCAAGGATGGCACACTGGTAAATTATCACGCCCAATGACTGCATTTCCAAGAATTATAACTGAGTGTGATTACCTGTTAAATGTGATATATGAAAATTGATTTCGTTAGCTTAGACAGATTTATACTGGACTGATTGTTGTATTATACCCATAATTTTAGACCAAATTCGGGGAAGGTTGCGAATCTCAAATTAACACTTTATATATTTTATTTAGCCGATATTTATTTACTCGTCGTATGCTGATACTCCAAGTTCACCTGACCTCTTTTGAGTAATACCCCTCACTGTTCGTAAAATGTACTCCCTAAAGCTATCAATAATTCCCGTACCGAATCCAAATTCGAACTTCTCTCCTCCCAGAGATTCACATAGTCTAACAGCATCATTCATTCTTTAGAGAACCGAACATTCATTATTGGTAGCCGGCCAGCCCGCAATTCACGTTAGCTTTACCATTCGTTTTTAAAATGTTGCCTTACCTCTCCATTGTAATTTGTGAACTAGGCTGTACTGCACCCACCACGGTAGGATAAAGCATTTCTGTACTTGGATTGACTTGATTTGATTTGAAATGAATATCCGCTTCGTGCGCGATTTAAGCTTCCAGAGTTAACGACAACAAGGCGCTACTTTCGTAGATCATATGCACTAAGGTATGTGTGTAGGAATGTTGCAACTGGATGACCGAAGAGTGCAAATACAGACTGATCGCATTCACTTTTGCCTATAAGGGTTGCATGTCTAACGAAATATTACTTGATCAAGAGGGGTGTGTGTTGATGGATTCATTTTGATGTGCAAACAATCATGTTTAAACCGTTCAAATTTCGACAGTACGTTTGGATTTTCACATGCACGAAGAACTTTACGAGTTCAGTTCTGTTTTTACAACCATTAACCATTTCACTGGGAATAAGCTTCCATGTTCCATACTACTTATTCTTCTTGCACATTAGNAGTCAAGATCTTTTACCTTATTTTCATCGCTCAGCTACCTTTGGTCAACAGAACTGCTGCAGCCTAGAAAATTGCACAACAGAATAACAATGCATGAACCGCATGCAATAAAAAGTAAACATGCACCAATTTCTTGTACCTACCATCTGTAGCTCTGTGTGTAGCTCAAGAGGTCAGAGCCTCGGTTTCATTCTGAAGGTATGCAGTTCGAATCCCGATAGGGAAAAAACATTATCTAGGCTGTGCAAACGAGGCCCGACAATGGGGGGGGGGGCAACTACCTGCTCTTGACCAATTTTCACATGCATTCAACATCACAGAACTGGCTATCTCGTCACGGGTACATTTGAGTGGGAATGTAGGAATTGTGCACGTATTCACGGATTTATTGTTTTCACTGTTTGAAAATCACTCCAATTGCTCTTTGTTTATGCTGATGATATTGCTGTACAGGATTGATCAGAATGTTTCTCGCAAAGGATTATTCTTCACAAGATAAAACAAAAAGAGTAGTTTTTCAAACAGAAACTGTGATTTTAATGTGAATGTGAATCAATCCATCATCGATCGGTGAACTATTTTTCTTCTGTTCCCAAATATCTGCTAATTCTAACATTTTTCTCACAAGTATCCTGACTAGTTTGTCTTTATCTCTGTTGCGCAACACGTTATCCACTTAGTACTCCCGATTTTTGCACGTCTGGTACAAAAGTAGTCAATTCAACTGGAATTTGTTTGCAATTACCTAAAAGTAGCATTGGGCAGCTATTCCTCCTGCATTGTCACTCATCAGCAATGGGCACTTAGTGTGTATTTGTGTTGGAAATCAGGATCCCTACGCTGACCCCACCAGGGCCACACAGTCATCGGCCAATAGCTAAAGCCTATAACTCGCTGAGTTTGAGTCATCGGTATCGGACTTTGTGGCAGGATTCAATAAAAGTTGCCTGAATGAAGTGAAAACTGCAAAACTGTCTTTGTCTTCTATCAGTTCATTCTGTAGCAGTTTTTCTTCAAACTTTATAGTCAAGTGACAAACTGTGCGATAATAACACGCCATCATTGTGTCACAAAATGCGTATTTCTAAATGATCATTCAATTTTTGTGTTGGAAATAAGCAGTAGATTGATTTATTTATGACCAGATGTTGAAAAGGTGCGCAACTTATTGAGAATGATGTTCTGGTACCTCGCTGGATTAATTTCTATGTTGCAGGTTTTAGCCTCCACGCTTGTTTCTTTGTTCATCTAGGTCATAAAACGCTTCTGATGCTGAAACAATGAAGGACTAAATAATGGGCCAGATTTGCGACCGACTTGCCGGTTTGTCTTCAAACACTTGTTCCCGGATTTTATCTGGATTGTTGACCGTTCAAGTTCCTGACAAAATGCATTAAAATGTTCTTACTTTTTTGTTAATGGATTATCGAACTGTACCATTAACCCTCAGGAAGGGGCCCAAGGCTATATACTGCGGTGATTCAGGGCGTATTTCGCCACGCATATTTGTCCATTGGTTAATAAAATCAATTCCTCTCTTTTGTACATACTACAGGATATCGTACAAGTTTTTTCAGGAAAGTTGTCAGGCTATATTTCTCTTAAAATGATCCAACCAGCTGGTTACCGTTGCTCTGAGTAGGTGCATAACAAAACTGGATTTTATTCCTCAATACCCGTCAGGAAACGCATTTTTGCCCAAATCTATTTATAATTTGGATTGAATTTCCAAAATGTATGTGTACCGTTTGCATGACTTACCCTAATCGAACCGAGGGATATAACGCGCGGAAAGAGTTCCGCTTCAGCAACGTCTCTGGAGTGTAAACAGCTCATTGAAAGTGTGGTGTCTGACGTCTTTCATTGTTTCCTTCGCTATAATCGTTAGAACGTTTTCAGTTAGCAATTGTTTATTCCGGAAAGAGACTGTACGACTTTCTATCCTAAACAGAACGTTTATAACTGATTATAAGATACTTTCTGTGAATAATGGTGATAGTTCATTTTTGAATTATATCATATTTAAGCGTTTCCTATTAACACAATTGAAAGCAAATATTATTGCATTCGAGACTATCAAGGCTGAGAGCGCGTAGCCGTAATTTGAGAAAAGTAATCAACCCTTGTAACACTGCTGTTTTGATTTTTCTATTTCTAATGGATTGCACTGAATTCGAGATGAATCTCCACTAAGTGAAAATCCTTCTTGGTATTATTATGGGTGTTTTGAAACAGTTTCTTGCTTGCTTATTGTGGTAATACTGGCACTGTGCAGTTTGTGATCATTTAACACCAGTCTATGATTTGGAATTTAAGTCATGCTGTACAACGCATCATGAGCTTTCGGTAAACCCAATGTTCATGAGGACTAATAAAGTAAGCGCTCATCAAATAACGATAGATGCCTCCACGAGAGTCCAGGCAACATGGGTAAGGTAATAGATACAGCTACCAACGTTTGTAATTTCTATTCAAGTATTTTCCGAGGACGCTTCTTGTGAACCACAGCCACATTTAAAATTTATCAGTACCATTGGTTAGGTAATACAGGAAAAAACAAATAAAGAAGTGATATCATATTATTAGCACGATGATTGTGTTGCCATTCATTAGGCTTGAGGTCATCTTTATATTTTAAAAAGAATATCTGTGGAATCCTCAAGATAAATGATAATTTGAAGCCAAACCAAAAGTAATTGTGCATATTGCAAAACAGGACCACTTCGGATTTTTGAAGTCAAATGTTAGCAGATGCTATTTCTGCTAGAGGCGTAACAGAGAGTTCGTTCTCATCATTGTCTACAACGAAGCTGATTCATACAGAAGGAACACAAATTTCACATATTGCGCGTATTGCTTCTAAACATTCTTCGTATTTTTCGACCATTTCCAGAGTTTCGTGAAGTTTCTTCAACCCATCATCAAACTAGACCAGCCACAGATTATGTGGTCCGAACTAGTTTTATTCGGGAAGGATCCCCGGCGAAATCTTCCGAAGGGAATCGAGTCAACCTGGTGCTACGTTTTCGGAGCTTGCTTTCTCGACGTTCGCAGCCGCATCACACGCATGCCGGACATCATCAACGAGCAAGCAAAATTGCTCCCCTCAATCGACGCTCGTGTCGGGACAAGTTGCGTGGCAAACGACCGTGCGGGCCCGGCAATCAGGTACCCTACAATCCACCACCCGCTCCGCTAACACCGACTGTCATCAGTGTGGACACATGTCAGGACTATGAATCCGATGCGAGTTTGAAACGCGCAAACTCAGACAGTTGCCTAAGCCGTCCACATATCCATTCGCATGCCATCTATCTACGCGTCCCAAATTCCCACATCAAATCAAGTGACAGTCCAGCAAGTGTAGCATCTCACCTATCCGATTCACCAATCGCTATCAACGGTTCCTCAGCTCACAAGTCCAGAACGGGATCATCTTCCAGGTTTGTACCACCGGTAGGTTCACAATCAGACACAGAAGATTCATCATTCAAAACACCCGAACAGAATAGGCGTTCTGCTCATGTGAGAAGACGTTCGTCCCTGTCGACGGGAAATATCTGTTGCCTGTATGCACTACGTTGTTTGCCGTCCATAGAATATTTGAATACACCTGCCTCACCTGCTACCGTACGTCGACGTAGTTTGCCTGCCTCATCAATCAAGCCCTATCCACATTATGACCGTGATCGAGGCACCGGAATTGTGCAAACTGCTGACACACCGTTTGCTCTGGCTGCAATGCGTCATCATCCGTGCTATCAGGATGTGGCCTGTAATCTGAGAAATTGGATTAAAGAAACGCTGGACATGCACAGTTCGAAAGAATCCATCTTGAATGACAATACGGAGAACACAACAGCTGCAGTGATGAGTAGTATTCACAGTTCGACCGAATGGACTAGACATGTGCGTTTCGCGGACGAAGCTACTGCGTCCTCATCAGCCACAACGCTGAATTCCCTCTCAGCCTCCTCTTCAGCCCGGTCACTTTCTTCCTTGGTTCTCACGCCAAATACACGTTCTCCTTTTGGTTCAATTACCAGTTTAGAACGAAGTTCAAACTCTTCAGACAAGCAGCACTCTCTGACCGGTTTGTCCTCAAAACTGTCAAATCTTCGTCCAATACCTCGGAGATTGTTGAACAAGTTCTCCCAGTTGAGCACCTCTCGTCCAACGCCTACAAGCAACAAGAATGCCACTCTGTCTCTACCTCGGACACCCGGAGCTGCTACCGGCAAACTTGGGAAGTCGGATCACGGAGAGAAAGGCAAGTCGTTAGCACGCAGTATTTGGCGCCGGCGTAGCAAACGACATCGTGAGCGCAAGACAACTCCACTTGTCACGGTTAATGTGATTCATAACTACTCCGAACCACCCGAGGTCCCGAAACATGTGCTCAAGGAACTGGAACCGACCGAAGTGAGTGCATGTAGATCTGTTTTCGAATTTTAATTTTCAGGCATATTAAACAAATGAGATTATATTTTGGAATTTATATATGTTGTATTTAGAACCGGCCTCCTAATGAGAACACCTACTTTTAGGGGTCAATCTTTATTGACTGTCGGCAGTCAATATCTAAATATGCTGGTGGATGGATGTTATATCTATCAATGTTGGCCCGGTATTAATCTGTGGGACTAAAAACCAGGCATGGCCGTGATAGAGTCGTCACAAGCTGGACGATTGCCCTCTGTTGATAGCCTAACAAGAATGGAACAGTTTTTCAATACTTTCAAGGCGTTTAGTGCTGAGTGACAATATCTGTTACTGATAGGTCTAGATTTTTGAAACTATATCGCTCAAGCCCCAAAAAAGAATAAGTAAAAGTTGTAAAACAATCCAATCTGAATGGTAGGCATTTTGGAATTCCGTTTCAGGTATATATATATATATATATATATATATAACACCGGCTTCCGGATAAGCATGTTGCTAACGCCACAACAATAATAACAATCGCAATAACGGAAGGTGGTTTTCGGATGCAGATCACGGTTAAAAGGACGGAACTGTTGAAGTGAAAAGTTACAGATAACTGGGATAACAATTTTTTGTGTTTCATTGTACACTTGTTGAAATTTTTTTACGGGGAACGGGACTTAAACAGACAAACCGTACAGCATTCGCGCCACTGACTTCTATTCTGGGCCATATCTCTCAGCGTCTCTAACCAACGACAATCCTCATCCCTTGGGCCCCAACCTGGAAGACGGGCTGCACCAACCGAAGCCAAAGCTAAAGCCATCTTCTTCATACCTCTACGCCATGTCACGGTTTGATTGCCGCGCCGCACCTTCCAACTTTGCCCGTGCGAAGAGAGCACGGAAAGGCAATCGATGGGCAGGCATACGAAATACGTGACCAAGCCATCGGAGGCGGTGTAGAGCGTTTCTTCTGTTAGGGAACGACTATCCACACCCAACATAAGACGACGAACCTCATCATTACTCACCCGCTGTCCTCACCAGATACGAGCAATATCTCTGAGACATCAGTGGTCAAATACAGACAGTTGATTAACATCCTCGACGCGCAGAGGCCAGATCTAGAACCGTAAAGGGAAACGCTACGAACTGCGGTGATGTACACCCTTCCCTTAAGGGACAGTCGGATGTCATGGTGGTGCCACAGGTGTCGCTGGTTGACGAAAGCAGCTCTCATCCCCAAAACTCCGACCAGCTACGATCAAGCTCCCGAGGTACTTAAAGTTATCAACTACTTCTAGCTGATCACCACAGAGGGTGAGTGCAGGCACGGGCTCCGTTTCAGGTTAAGTTTCGCAGATAGGATTGCCGATTGTTGGGTGACTAGTATGACAGCATGGTATGAAGTTGTTCAAATGCATTCGCAGTTCGCTGCTTCTGAGTGGAATGTTCAACTTTCCCGGTTGATAGCAAACGAGTGAACTCGACAATGAAATTTATCAATGAAAACTAATCCCTCTGGACTCGAAAAGCTTGGGCCAAATAGAACGTATAAAAGTGAATTTAGATGAAAATAGAGATGCTCATCAGCTTCTTAAGGGAACACTTCTGTGCACAGCCTGTATGTGTAAGGTAACAACGTGGAAGAGAAAACAGGGAAAAAAGGTTAAAATATTTGTGATTTTCAAGTATTTACTCGATGGATTGATCCGTCAACAACCGGGAGTTTGTAGGGTTCATTACTTCCGACAAACTAGTCACTATTTGTCGAAAAGGTCAAATATTTGAACTATTCAGTCTTGTATAAGCCATTTGTCACGCTTTCAGCTATTTCCAGACTTCTTTTCAACACTTGTCGGCTTCTTTTTCAGAAAGCTGACAACCATTTACCGTCTCAAATTGCTCGATTAGGCAGCCCCAACGCCATTGGGGAGTCACATGATAGGCATATGTTCAAGCTGCTTCAAACCGCTATTCGCTCCAATCGATCGACTCATCTTTCCATGTTTCGCTTTCCGAAATTGAGGTCTGGTAAGAAGAACATGGGTTTAATGAGACCATCTTGGAATGAACGACATAAAAAAGCGGAGACAAGCATCGTCTGTTCATACTCACTAGTGTGTGTGTGTGTGTGTGTGCACATATACGCTCACTAGGGTAGTGGATCCTTGGGTGACACAAATCCTCCCTATCCCACTTATCATTCAGACAGGTCAGATTAATCATACGGAGGTGTGTTTCACTTCCGCGTGACATGTGAGCTGGACTATACTCTTGTGTTAGTTGAACGCGAACATTCGGATTCGTATCCAAATGCGAATTGTCATCGCAATATCACCGTCTGACCCATTGTTCAAATGATTGATTTGGACTTGGCGATTGCAATTAAGTCCTTCTATCTGCTCAGATAGAGGTGTTCACAACGAGCTTTTATGAATACTGTGAAACTGATAGAGAAAAGTGCGGTGTCTGGGTCGAATTTTTCAGTCACAAAAATCGATAAGAAACAAGCAACCCCAGTTACTTGTGTAGCGTCTTTCACAAGTTTGTTTACGTTGTAAATCGTGCTGACGCTCAGCTGGGCAGATGATTGGACTGTGCTGTGGAATGAATATTATCGTTGGTATGCAATCGCAGATCACGATTATCGGAATTCACTATAGTTATGTTCTTCGTTGTTCGAAAGCCTAGCCTGACGAGTGCATCCAGATTTCATGTAGCTGCATTCCTCCAGCCACGTGATTGTAGGTAAACGGCTCGCGTGTTCGACCACTGGCCACACCCAAAACAGCCTCGTCATACAGGCGGGGTCAATCCATTTACCATACATGTGGGCCACGTCGAACTTGGACCATTTAATGGACCAATGAGCCAATTTGGTGAATGTGAAAACTGAGTCGTTGATAGCAGCGTTGGCTCTGTTCGGTTTGTGTAGCTATTCACTACCGCGCTATGGATTCCAAACTATCTGTTCGTCTGAATACAGTTGTGCAATCGCAATGTTCGTGGTGAATTCACTTTGCCATGGACAACATGTAGTGAGTTATAAGAAACAGATGTGGTAGCCTTTATAAAATACATTTCCGTATAGATTATCGTCTTCAGGTCTCCAGTGGACCTTTCGTCTTTCCGATACACAAACTCTAAGCAACCTGAAGTGTACACAGTTAAAAACAAAATACATTTACTTGATTATAATGAAAATGTTCCAAGTGGCCTATTCACCTGCCTGTATGAAAACGTCCGCGAACCATCTGCATAAGCAATATCGACAATTATCCTAACAAGCTGACTGACAAGCGCCAGTTATCATTTCTCTCAAAGGAAACAGTTTTATGCGTTCAATGAAACATTTGTGTAATCACCGATAGAATGCACTGCACAGCTGTATCACCCCTCTTGGGACTGGTGAGCAGTGCGTTGTCTTCCTCTATTCTTACTCTGGATAGAAACTCTGAATTCCACACCCTACCATATATAGAGCGACAAGTTTAATGGCTAACAGCTTGAGAGTGTTTTGATTGATCATGTTCTCGTTGGATTAATCTACTTGATTATTATGGGTCCAACTCGCTTTGGTGTTTTGTTCTGCTTATGATGCAGGGATTTTTATTGTATACGTAAACTTGTTTATTCACTCCATGCAGAATGCATGCAATAGACAGAGTTGTGTCTATGATCTATGACGAATGAAATGGGCTAATTCCAGTGGGCATTCCTTGGACATGTCTGTTCAAAAACAGTTCACAGTATCCCCAACCTAGATGTTTGAACTCTTGCTAGTCTGGCCCTCGTTCTGAAGTGAACGAGTTTCCCATAAAGGCGATTTACACCATTTGTCGGACGTGAAACCTTGTTGTACTTCCTGTGCATTTATGAACGTGCATTACACATATGGGTGCGAGTGTTTGTGTCAACACGATGCAAAAGCCCATAAGGCGATGAACAAATGGTAACGCGGTTCTGTGGTGATTAAATGTGAGTCAACTCATCCGCGTTGGTCAGTACGTACTCTGCTCTAAATAAAGCTCCCAAGTGCCTCAACGAAGGCGTGTTGAATGTGACCTCAGGGTGAATAAGCTTTGGAATTGAACGAAAAACGTTTTATTTCATGCTGAGATATCAGGTTCCATCGGCTTTGGGTATCAAAATGGTAACTCTCTCTCCGGACTTCGAATAGTTCATCCCAGCACCTGGGTTTGCAAAAACCGAACATAAAACTGTAAGGTGTCATGTTCACAATGACTACTATAATTACTAATAACATTATTGGCACTAATATAAACACTATTTCCACTACCACATATATATGCTTATATATGCGATTTCTACGAGCACTACTACTACCGCCAGTACCACCAATAATAATAGTAACCCAGTAATACTTTTAAGATGAACCTTATGATAGTCACTGAATTCGGCTCACCAAACACCGACGATATAATGAATACATCAAAAATTGAGTGTGTTTGTTTCTGTAGATATGTCTGTGTGGTCCGGCTCCCGCTGCGAAAGTGTACCCGGTCGGAAAATAACATTCGGTGTTGAATAGAAACCTAGACGCCTATGACATATCTTCATTGTTTGATCACATTTCACATTCGTGACTGGACACGAACACCAAATAATGCGGCATTTCTATCTGTTCCAAATGTGCGGAATGAAAGTGACAATTTGTGTCGCGCACTAACTCCGATTGCCAAGTTCATTTGTTCCGGTCGTGATTCACAAATCGCGTGTGTGTAAGTTACAAACAATCCGCTGTTTGGAGTTTTGGAATCAATCATAGTTACGTCTCATTGCGATGATCTAAAACTTGATCGTATTCCGGAGCTCACAGTTCTCGTGGACATCCACCCGGGAATCGGATTGAAGCCTATACAACAGAAAATTAACCAGCTCCGCCACAGCTGAACGATCCTTGAAGTAAATAAAAATAATAATTTTGTATTTTAGCAGTGCAAAACTGTGTATCGGTGCCATGTGTTGGTTCATTGCTGATGCAGGCTAATAAAACTCAGAGGATAATAACTAACTAAGTGTTGAATCAGTGAGTGGCTATGCGTTGACTTCATTTTCATATCTCACATGTCACTGATAAAGTCTGAGTGCCGTTGGAGGCTTCTTTGCGATGGTTGGTGACGTTACCAAGGTCAGGGCTCAAACAGAGGCCTGCAGGTTGAAAACTCCTTAAATTGGACACCGAGCTATGTAAATCGCATTCAGTGAATAGTATCGAGTCAATATTGAACTCATCAACTTGGACCATTGGGTATCTAGACGTCGATCGACTGATGCAACCATTCTCATGAGTGATCCAATGGGAATGGAACTATTTAGCACATGATTGGATTCGTTCGATCATCGATCGGATGAGACAGTTGAAAGAGGCGTGTCAATGCCATAAAAGAAACATACAAACAATATTGTCATCTAATGCTAATTTTTGAGAGAGTCATCTGTCCAATAAGCCCGGGAAGACAATAATTTAAGCATTAAAATCCTTTGAGAGTGTTACAGTTACGTATGGTTTACAGCAGCAAACAACAATCCCATATGTCAATGTCTGATAGAACATAATGATTACTAAGCGTTAACCACGATAAAATATAGTGCAGTAATAGGATTAATTGAAAAAGGTACAACTTATTGGCTGAGGGGGATTGATAACGTTCGGATTAAACAAATAATAGAAGAGTTTTTTGTTCCAAACACCCGTTATGCCAGATTCCCTCGACTTACCTCATATGTATGCCATTGCACGCTTCTGTAGCGATGATAAAGTTTTACATTTTAAAAAATGAAATCGCTCTTAGGGAAAGAAATTAAAGCATGCTCGGATAAATACCCTTACAGGAAAATGTGAATTTCCAAAAATCAGTTTTATTGATCTGCCCGAAAGTTTTTAACTAAAACCGATTTGGAGTGATTGCTTTTGAATGATTTTCATTACTGCTAGATGAAACTATTGTTTACAAGTTACCGAAAAGCAATTTTGTTGGAGTCGCACGGTCTAGGATAGGAAAAACCGATTCGTCTGGATGAATAAATACGTATAGATGTCGGTCGTTTTGGATTTTTCAGACCCTGTGATCCGAGGTTCGAACTCCGTCACTGCCACCCAACTTCGGTGGTAAGTGATTTTGCTGTCCCCCGGTTGAATACCATGCCTGACCTGGTGGACTTCTGTTCTTCGTTTCCATCAGTGAACGGAAGGTCTTCATGATTCGGAGTTCCACTCCGTCTGTTGTTTACCACACGAAATCGGGTAATAGAAACGAGCCTTTGGGGTTGATACAGGGATGTCATGACAACTTCCAAATACGTTTATCTACTCACAGTATGTGTGCTGTCTTCCCTAACGGAATGCAATTTATTTTGTACTTAGGAACAATCCTTCTGGCAACCGATGTTTACAAACCCCGAAGAATTGCCTCAGTTCAATCAAAATCTGTACAAACAACGTTTGCATTTGGCTCGTCTCTGGTCGTTCACTTTGTCCGCCATCAATGTTGAGGTCCATGTGGTTGTCTCACCGTGTTTCGGTGATGATTCTTCCCCGCAAATTCGTCTACGCTACACTCTCAATAACTGGGAGACCTATGCCGAATCGTGTGAATTAACCAAGAGGCATTCAGAGAGACGAACACTATCGCCGTGTGAGACTTTCTGGATAGAAGTGCATTCCGGCCGGATCCAGTTGCTCCCGGACAATACGAACGATGCACAGCCGAAACCTGAGCGACTCGAATTCGCAGTTGTTTCTCGACGCGGAGGATCTGAGTGGTGGGATAACAATCATTCGCAGAACTACGCATGTTATCAGCAACAAACGGGTGCAATTTAGTCTTTCTCATTTGCCCTATTGGCAACAATCGACCCGATCATTTCTCACATAGAACCAACTCATTTTTCTCCCCATCTCATTCAACCTATCGTGTGAGTCAAAACAGATTGCTTGAGAGAGAGCATCAGATCGACAGAGGGAGAGAGAGAATGATACTGTACTATGAAGATAGTTCCCGCTCTTTTTACCATCTCAGATTTTGGAACAAGCATATTGATTCCAAATGATGAACTGTAATTGGCAAAATGCTGCGGCTTTTTAGTTGGTTTTGGATGTTTATTGGGTTCTTTGTACATCAATTCATCCGTATTTTGGCTGCTACTTCTCTGTTTGCTCCTCGTCTCTCTCTCTCTCTCTCTCCCTCGCTCTTGTTCCTCTCTCTCTCTCTCATTCTCCCACTCCGAGAATCAGGCTATTCCTTTGCTCAATTTTTCACACACACACACACACACACACACACACACACACGCACACACACTATTGCACACTTTCGCTTTTACCGTGATCCCACCTCCCCTGTCGCCAACTCCCCCGGCCCTCCTCCACACACCTGCTTCTTCTCTATTTCACGACAAATACAGAACAATTTCGCGAATAACTGCTTGTGGTTAGTAGTGTGGGATAGGTGATACTATTTATTCGTTCCAAATGAACCGATCAACTGTCGTCGAGGTCGAATCGGAACAAATGGGAATCGGTAATTTTGATCAAATACGATGTAAATTAGCTGGTAACGTAGGGGTTACCCACGTGAATCTTCTATAACAGCGGGCAGATACCAAGCACAGGCGGGAATACACGCAAAATTGCCGGGCTCTAGTGATCGTTTGAACCGACGATCGAATCAATTTAGTAATCAGTTAAAGCACAGAACGGCTTTTTCTATCCCCTATCCGAGTGAAGATTGTCGAGGTTCATGTGTATCCCAACTTCTAGTGTCCAAAGGGCGCTCGAATCGACCGCTATGCGATGCTTTACCTGACCACGCACATAAACAATAACAATGACCTTTGTACACGTCTGCGTTCGTCTGTCCACGCGCACTCTCATGCGTGTGTGTGTGCGTGCGTGCCTAGATCAAGTTCGTCCATTAGCTCGCACATTCCATAAATCACACCGATTTGAGCCGATTTGGCGGGATGGATCAGGGAACGAAACATGTGGACCAGCAGAACGAAATTTAGAGCTAAAATAAAGTTATCAGAGCTGCATTATTTGTTGTCCGAAATGTGAGCCGTGTGTGGACTGTTGAATTAGTCGATAAGTGATTACTCGTCCAGTATGAGGTCAAAACTGACGAGTCACGTGAAAGAACCTAATCGAACTAACGCTGGACAAAAAAAACATCGAGAAGTTGAGCCATCTATAGATCATCGCTTTATTTGAATTATGGTAAAACTATTGTTTATTTGGAGGAACTGGTAATTCAGTCGGAACAATCTAAGAGGGTTGGAAGGGGGATGGAATGTTTCGAAGTTGAAGATATTAGTCGGGTCGCCAACGAAGACAAAAGGGAAGGTTCACAGAAATTAATTCAATGTGCTATACTTAGTAGCATGATAATACCAGTATCGTCTCACTGACTAGGATCAAATATGGACTCAGAGATATAAGACAAGATTGAGTTTGGTATTATGATAATATGCGCCCTGAATTCAGGCTGTCGGACCGGCCACTTCGAAAGGACCGTTTTGCATAAACCAATCCCGTCATCCTCTCAAAAATGCATTTTCTAGTATGCCCACCTTTTTCAGGTGGTGAACAGCATGTATATGCATCCTGTTCACAGATTTGAGTTCATAAATGTGGCATGGAATACTGAAAATTCACTCATTCGGTTGCAGAGAGATACTACTGGCAAGAGACAAAAAAATATTCCTATATTCATACATATTCCCCCAAAAATGTATGTGGAATATGCAGCATAAAAATAGCAACAATGGTTGTAACAGAGAAAAGCTTGATGATTTACATTAGGGTGAAGAAATCTAGAAATCAACCCTTTGTTGTAAATGTTTCTTTGCCGTTATTCGGTTACAGTTTACATAGTTGAAAATCGTGCTAGACCGTTTCCCATGATAGACATTGTGTTGGGGCTACATTCTTTATCGATCATCATATTGATACAATACAGTGTAACCAAAACTACATTTGTCAGTCGTTATAATTCTCCCTTAACTATCATGCACCTCTATTAAACTAACATCAACTACAGCATACTCTGAACTATTTACGGATATTCGGATTTAGTGGTGGCTCCAGAGCTGTATCAAATTGACAAAAAAAAATCTAACTAATCATTCTTATGAGTGCTCAAACTTCATTTGTGATTATTCTGGCAGGAGTGGTTTAGCTGCCCATGTAGCAAAGTATTTACCGTATGCTCTCTATCTACAGTTTTTGAACAAACTCGTGCAGCATCCTGACTTTCATCACGTTTGTTATTCCTAACGCTCACTGTTTTGAGCCTCATTCACGGGATTGAATATGATATTGATCCACATCGGATGCAACATCTGATGGAATATCTACTTATGTCTTTGCTTCTATTCGCGGAAAGTCGTTGAAATAAACGATTTCTCGATTTTGACAATGAGTGTTAGTGAATCAGTTGTAAACTAACAAAGCCATGGTAAGAAACACAAATATAAATTATTTATCGAAATGATCCATATACTTTATACGGGTATTGTTCTTTCATCTCGTCCATGTTCCATTTGCCCTTCTTCATTTCTGAGCACTGGAGGCAGTCGCTATAGCATAAAATCCACCAAGTTGACTGTCCAACAGAATTTGCCATTTTCCTCTACTACATACCGAACCCTAACTACTGACGACCACTGTTGAGGCAACTGACTTATCCCTGTTTCTGACACGAAAAAGTTTTCGATTACATTCAAATCCCAATTGTTTTGCGGTAATTGAATGAAGTTGAAACTGACCCCTCCAGAAACTGCATAAATATGAACATATAATATTGAATGAGATCTAACCGTTTTCTACTACCAGCCTCTAACGAGAAGATATATTTACCTTCATCCGTGAAAAATATGACTTCCATGAATGCCTTCTGAGAGTAACGAATATCGAAAACCTGCCTTATCAGTGCAAGAAATCTTTCGATATCCAGATTGGCGTGTGCAGAAAACCCTCAACAAGGCAATCCTTATTTACTTCGCTTCCAACTCGATATGAAGGATGAATATTTACCTCTTTTGACAAGTAATACGAAATTCATTGGAAAACTAGGTTAGTAGATAACCTTTCTTCACTTGTTGAATTGCTTGCTAACCACAACTAAGATAAACCCATTTCCAAATGAACGAGCAGCGCGATTTGAATTTGTTGGCAAAATCAATAAGTGGATTGCTCTCTTGGGTGTTCAATAACGGCTTCATATCAGGTGGTTTCAAATTGAGCCATCGTTTTCCAAACGGTAGTCTGAGGAAGAAACGGTTAATCCGCCTGGACTATTCTTCAGATTGGTTGTGTGCAGCTGTTCCCAGCTGCGATCAAATTCAGCCATTGTCTTGGTTCCATGTGATCGGGCTTATCTCTCTTGATTCATGTCTTGGTGGAGAAATTCCGTCAATTGTGCAATAAACTGGGCTTATGTTCACATCAAAGCAATTGTGCAGATCAGGAACTGAGTCATCGGACTTATGTGCCTCTCGGCTTCATATTTATCCTGAAATGGTTTGCATATTTCATCCGGTTTGGCTATGGCGATCTCACAAGTCGCTTATTCAACGAGCAGCACACCTCAAGGTCAATTTTTAGAGGTCAGCTTGTATGTTTTGTGTAATATATTTTCAAGTCTTTCAGTATTAGGGATAATGCGTGAGTAGTTTGTAGCCAAATAATTTATCAAATTATTAAAGCTAGAATATTTTCATTAATTGGTTTATTTACCGCTTATAGAATAAATTATTTTTTGATTGTCATGAGGAAGGTTGCTCACAGTAACCAAAACGTCGGCTAATATAACTCTTGACCGACATCGCTGTGTTATTAACATTATAACATTCACAATTCATATAAAACCCATCATGAGTCTAGCCGAGTGAAAACAAAAATAATGTTTTCAGATGAAACTGGTACACAACAATATGGTTTATGTGCCACTGCTAGTCAAAATGCCCCGGGGGCATGAAATAATGCCGAATTTGATAGGCCCTTTAACAGAATATAATGGCTATATGAACAACGTTCTACCTCAATCCTGACGGTGAAGATAATCAAACGGCATGGTCTATCAGTTCGGTGGCTCATAACACACTTGTATCCAAACCCTGGCAGTTTCGTATAGATTCCCTGAATGTGGATTGCTAGTACTCGACTGGTTGCAGCCCCATTATTGAAACCATGGTTCGATACCAAATAAGTGGTCAATAATAAAATCAAAGTGAATTTAAATGTTATTGACTATATTAGGTATAACTATAAAACAGACACCGAAAGATAATGTTATGGTTATTAATCGCAATTTTACAACAACACGCAGCAACGGTGGGCAAATTAAGGGGCGAGAACAAGAGTAATCAACCAAAAGATGCTGAATAAACAATGGTAAATTGTTTTGAATTGATTAGAATTTAGTCAGACTATAAGCAGCATACAATAGTGATCGCCAAATGCGATAAGTGTCTGCTTAACCGGCACGAGTATAGAATACCGTCATGCGACAGTTCGTCGCACGTCAAGAATAAGCCGTCAATCCGTCAATTCATGAGATCCACGACTGTCTGCAATTCATGCCTTGAGATTTATAAAATCAAACTGCGTTTCATTTAAATCGTGAGAGAAAGGATGATGAAGCCGGATCTACCGTGGATTCTCATACTCCGCGTAACCGAACGGAATGCGTCCTGAGGGTCTGCCTGTAGATTGTTCATGCTTCATTACTGAATCGAAATCTGTTTAGGCCACTTCAGCCGTGTCTTTTGAATTGATGAATACTACCAATCCGGTACAGTAGACCTTACTGGGTCTTGGCAATA